TTCCAATAAAGGAACTGATCTGCACCAGTACAGGATGCCCATTATATGCAGAGGGATTGCTGGTATAATTACTCTTGATTGTCAATCCTGTGGAATTCAGATTCACCATGGAAACAGACCCCCAGGCTTGTGTGTACGGGGTTTGTCTAGACTGGGTTACTGAGTTGAGAGCACCCGTGAGCATCCGGCATCCGTCTCTGCTGTCTGAATGTGCATGCAGTGTGAGTATCTGCCTCCGCTCCTGCTGCCTTGCCTTTCCCGCCATGATGGACTCTGCGCCCTCCAACCATGAGCCAAACCAGCCCTTCCTCCCTTAAGCTGCTTTCATTGGGTACTGGATCACAGGACAGAAGTAACTAACACAGCAGGTGTCAAGTTCCATAGCAGTGCTGGCTACCACCCTGGGACATGAAGACACTCCACTGCGAATCCCTGCAGCGGGGTGCACTCCAGGCCCCAGGATCTCCACACTCACCTGTCATCCTCTTGTGTTTGCATTTATGCAAAAGCAAAGGTGCACCGTGGGCCAATATGTCATCCCATCTCCAAACTCCCACCCAAAACAAGCTTTAGTCAGTGAGAGGAAGTGGCAGTCTGAGATGTTTGTACAGTTCTAAATGATAATGTTGTTTGGTTTGTTTATCTGAGTAAATCAGATTTTAGGAAAGCGCATCTAGCTCCAAGTACCAGAAATACATAAGAAATACTTGGCAAGAGGGGAATGTGGTGGAGTGCTTGCCTACTATGCAGGAGGCCCTGGCTCCTAGCCCTGCATAACCCCTGTGTAACAGTGCATATCATACTTGTCAGGAGGATCAGGAATTCAAGTCAGCTTCAACCACTTACAGAATTTGAAGCCAGCCAGGCATGATGTCGCATGCCTTTACTCCCAGTCCTCAGGAGACAGGGGCAGGTAATTCTCTGAGTTTGGGGCCAGCCTGGGCTATATGAGGCCACCTTAGAGAGGACATCACAAGCAGATACTGCAGCTGGGTAATCAACTCGTCACCTTGCAGACAAAGACAGAAAGAAGGGACAAATGAACACAGGGACCTCAAGACAGCCTCACTTGAAGTCGCTATCAAGACAACTGCAAAGGATTGCCATGGTACTCTTGGTTAACAGAAGCATGCCTGGGGACCAGTCAATGGGTTCCTCCACTTACATCTGCCAAGAGACAGTATCTGGGAAAGTGACACCTGGATGAAACGCAAGGCTGCTGCTGCTGCCTGTGCAGGGTCTGCACAGGATGAGCGCGTCAAGAGTCAGGCTGTGGTTGCACACACCTTTAATTCCACCTTTACCACCCAACTATTTGTTACTGGCAGATGCAGGAGAGGGTGGTCTTTGTCTTCGGTTGTGTATCCACCAGGCTCCAATGGGTAGTTCCAATCCAGCGCTCACACAGACGGTCACAATGGGTCACAAAACAAAGCCAAAATCCTGAATCTGAGCAAAGGACAGGTGGGGGGAGGGTAGTGGGGGTTGATTGGGATAAGAGCAACAAGGGTCAGGGGAGAGAATAAGCAGAGAATAAGCAGTATGGGATAGTTGAGGGACAGGTCGGTGATGGGAGCTGTCATTCTGTAAATATGTTTCTCTTACTGATTAATGAATAAAGCCCTGTTGGCCAAAAGGAAAGCAAGATAGATGGGACTAGGAGACGAGGAGGCACGTACACACACACACATGCACTCACACATGCACACTCTTGCTGTTGTCCTCACCACCTGAGTCTACTTACTCAGAAAATACCAGAATACCGGACAGTGCACCGGGAACAGAGCTGCTGTTCTGGTACTTCTAGACTGCTAGAAAAGCAAGCACAGCTAGGATTCTGAGGAGTTCAGTAGGTAGAGGCATTTGCCACCAAAGCTGATGACCCGAATTCGATCCTGGGGCCCGCACGGTGGAAGAGAATCAGCTCCCATCAGTTGTCCTTTGACCTCTCCACAGGCGCTGTGAGCCATGAATGCACGCGTATGAGCACACGCATAGAGAATAAAAATCTTACGTGTAATCAAAAAAATAAAAATGAGGTTTGCTACTACTATCGTTTTAGTAGTCCCCACAGTTAGCATGTATAATATTATTTATTTGGGGCTCATCAGTTAGAAGCCATCGCTGCTCTACCGCAAACCCAGAGTTCGAGTCCCAGCACCCAGGTCAGGTGGCTCAAGATCACAGTAACACCAGAAGATCCAGCGCCTTCTTCTGGCCACGGCAGGCGCCTGCACTCATGTGCATAGAACCCATAGACATAAACAAAATACATTGCACATGACTACAACAGAGAACAACTTCAGGAATCTGCTTTCCTTCCACACGGGTTCCAGGGACAGAACTCAGGGCATGGGGCTTGCGAGGCAAGTGTTAGTCACACCGACACTAAACGCAGCTCCTGTATCAGCACAGTATTTAAATGGCCCTCATTTCCCTTATATGTATCCATTTAAATTTTTATTTACTTTTACTTATTGAGTGTGTATGAGCATCTATGTATGAGCACACATATGCCACCGCACATATGTGGAAGAAAGTTGGAGGGCAACCTGCAGGCATCTGTCCTTCATGCATGTCCATGGCAGAGACTGAACTCAGGCTGTCAGGTTTGGCAGCAAGTTCCTTTACTCAGTGAGTCATCTTGCCACCTGGACTCAGTCTGGTTTTGCCCAATGAGATGGCTCAGAATGTATGAGTGCTTGCCACACAAGCCCGATGGCCCAAGTTTGATCCCTGCAACCAGTGTAAAGGTGGAGAGACCCAACTCTACAGAGTGTCTGCCCTTGAGCCTCCATGTGGACCCACACCTATCATGTCCACATACACACACAAATGAAGTACATTTACAATTTACCTAGCTCAGTAAGTACATTTCTGTCAGCGAAACCAACATGGATTCATTTCATGGGCAGTGTTTATCTTCGATGTTTTACATGTGTGTGCATGCAGTACGGGTTTGTGGTGTGTATGTGCAAATATGCTTACAAGAACAGAGACCAGAGGAAGAAGTAGGCAGGGTCTCCGCTGGACCCGGAGATTGGCTGGCAACCACCAGCAAGCCGCAGCGAGCCTCCGGTCTCCACTCCCTCCCACGGCACTGTGGTTACAGACCTGCACACAGCCACACCCGGCGTTTTAGATCTGTGTGGGGATTCAAACCTAGGTCCTCCTGCTTTTGCAACGTGTGCTCTTAATTTTTTAAAAATTATTTGTTCTTATTTTATAAGCATTGGCGCGTTGCCTTCGTGAGATCTCCTGGAAGTGGAGTTACAGTTGTGAGCTGATATGTGGGTACTGGGAATTGAACCCCTGTCCTCTGGAAGAGCAGCAGGTACTCTAACTGCTGAGCCATCTCTCCAGCCTCATCATGGGCATGTGTTTATGTCAGCGAAATCTTTAACCAGACAGGGCTTCCTGTTAGCACTCGGGTGTAATTATCTTCAAGGTTTTATATTTTAAGGAGGATGGAGATGCCTCCCGAAGGAGAGATGAAGTTACAGTTACTGCTTATATTTATAGTTGTGTTTCCCAGCCCATGGGACTCACTGAAGTTACCTTTGTCTGATACCCAGGCACATCCGCTAAAAATAACGACTACCTGTTAATCTCTTTCCACGAAAGCATCCCGTGTGGCAGCACTCAGGAATAAGGGCGAAATCCTGAAAAGTGTACTTTGCTCTCTTTTTTTATTATTATTCAAAAAAGCCCATGATTCTTTGGAAGGGACACAAAGGAGTTTCCGGGGACCGGACCTCGGTTCCCACAACCTCCGTAAAACCGTCCACGCCAAGGGCTCCCCCTCTCCCCCACCCAGGTTCACATCTGGCACCTACACATGAAGCATTCACTTCTGAAAAAACGGGAGGAATGTGTGTGCTCGGTGGCAGCCGGCTTCCCCAGTGTCTCCTTCCCCATGACGGGAGAGTGGGCCCATCTCATGCCACCAGAACCAGCCAGATGCCAGGGAGGTACAGACGATGGCCGGTCTACTTGTAAATTGGGAGTTACTGGTGTCTGGAGAGGAACAGACCAGCCGGTGCTGGCACTGGCTTTATGTTCTGGGACATAATTGGAACTGGCAGCATCTCTCAGAAGAAAGAAAAAGAATAAAAGAACAGGACTGTAGGGCGTGGAGTGCGGAGGGACCAGTGATGTGGCTGGGGGAGGGGCACCAGAAGACATATATGAAAATGACCCAGCCAGAAAAAGGGAGCCCTCTATCGGGCACAGGCCTGCATCTCCCCCAGAGAAAGTTCCCGCACTAACTAGGGTGCTGAGGAGACAGAGCCCACAGCCAGCACCTGGCTGGCATTTAAATATGAAGAGAACAACACCCCGACCTTCACTTCAAACGCCAGGAAGCTTGGTTCAGCCTGCCACGCCCAAGTGAAGTTCACCTTCCTAACTCTGCTTCCAAGTGACCAAGTTTATCTTTAAAAATAGAAAAGAACTCTTTTGTTATTTTCACTGTTACCGGAGCTTAGATTTCTCTGTGTACTTCTAAACTGATAAGAACTGACAAGGGGTCTTACCAGAGACCCTTTTCTAAACCTAAGAAAATAAGACATTTTTTTTCTTTTAGAGACAGAGTCTTGCTAGGTAGCCCAGGCTGGCCTTGAACTGGGGCTACCCTCCCTGCCTTACCCTCCAAAGTGCTGGGACTATAGGCGTGCACCACCATGCCCAGCTAAAACTAGGCATTTGAATCGTCAAACAAAGGGTGGTCATGTCTAAAACGAGGGAGAATAAGATGCTGTGACAGCGCTTTTCCTTGTCATCCCAACTCAGCTGCCGGGGTCTCCAGCACTAGGTCCCTAGAGCTGGCGGCTGTCACGGGGTTCAGGGAGGGTGGGAGGGGGGCAGATTCTTCTGCCAGCCGCCCATGCACAGACAGTGGTCCCATTCAAGGGAGTGGCGGTGAGGTGAATGCGGCGGCTGTGGAGAGTGAAGCCAGGCTGGAGGCCGCCCCTGGCCTCGCGCTCTGCAGCTCCGCCCACTCTGTGCTCTGATGGCGATGGCGCTGTCACAGCAAGCAGCATCGCTCTTTGAAGCTCTTCTTGCTCTTGCTACTCTTCCTGCCGTTCTTGTCCTTGTTTTCTGACATCTTCTTTGCTCGGATCTCTCTCATCAGATCAAAGAACACCTGGCGGCCGGAGGAAGGGAGGAAAGAAAGAAGAGGGAAGCCATTGACAAGCAGTTCAACTGGCGGGAAAAGCCCAAAGGTACATTCATTCATTCACTCATTCATTCATTCGTGCACATATTCATTCATTCATTCATTCGCAGCAGGGGCTCCTGCAGCCCCAAGCACATTCACTCATTCATGCACTCATTCATTCATTCACAGCAGGGGCTCCTGCAGCCCCAAGTACATTCATTCATTCATGCACTCATTCATTCATTCGCAGCAGGGGTTCCTGCAGCCCTAAACTGGCCTCCGATTGGTGGTACATGGCCAGGAGCTCCCGGTCCTCCCTGGGCTGGGTCACGTGGCAGGGGAGATGGACACCAGGGCAACAGTCTATCGACTGAGTCCACCCCCAACCCCCTGCTTACTTTTATGAGCCCGGCCCATTGAAAACAAGGAACCAACAATAAATAAATAAACAAGGCAGCTACAGCAATAGGTAATAGTGAAACAGCCCTCCTTCTCCCCAGTTAGGAGCTCTGTCACCCCACACGCTGTCAGCACGGACAGGGCGAGCCCGTCAGATCTTAACGACGTAAGGGTAAAAAAATAAGCTTTTGCAGAGAGCAGTTCTAGAATGGTGTGCGGAACTGAAACATCTGGAGGGCAGTGGGCACGTTGTGAGTCTACACTTCCGGCGGCTGAGATGGCACATCGGGTAGAGTCCCTTGCCACCAAACCTGATGACCGGAGTTCAATAGTTGAGACCCACATGGTAAAGGAAGAAACTGGTTCCCACAAGCTGTCCTCTGACTCCACACATATGTGACAGTATGAACGGACACACACACACACAAAGGTGAGCCTCTGCTTTGTCCCATGTCACACCTTATTTGACCACTACAAGTGATGGTCCCCTCCCCAAACCCTATTGTAAAAGCCACCAGTAGCAAATCTGGAAAAGCAAGGAATGGGAAGTAGGAAGGCAGGTTCCTGTAGTGGAGAGCTACGCCCAGCTCCACCCCTCCCTGCCCCCACCCCGTCCCTTCACCCCCCCCAACCCTGCTCCATTGCCAAGAGGAATTTTATCAAGAAAGAAGAGCCTCTGCGCATTATCTAGACAGACATTATCGTTTGTCAATGAGGTTTGGGTTTGCCCTCTGGACCAACAATCATCAAGGGACTGATTACTCTCTAGCAGACAAAATAAGCCCCCTGCAAAGACACACTGCAGATTTCCCACAGAAACTGGAAGCGTGACAAGGGACACAGGCTTTTTTTTTTTTTTTAATCTTCACCAGCTCCAAGATCTAATTCTCAGACACAGACCAAGGTGAAAGGCAAGTCTGAGGGCTAGGGACGTGGCTCAGCTGGCGGTGTGCACCTGCCTGGCACGCACACGACCCTGGGTTGCATGAAGTAGGCGTGGTGCTGCACACCTGGAATCCTAGCTCTCATGGGCAGAGACAGGATGACCAGAAGTTCAAGTCCTTCCCACCTACGTCTTGAGCTGGAGGTTGGTCTAGGGTAGATGAAACCCTGCCGCTCTGTTTGCTTTGTTTCGTCTTAAAGAAAGAAAATTTAAAAAGACAAACAGAAAAAAGAGGAAAAGGCAAGTCATCTGTGATGTCACAGAGCTGGAACAGTTCAAAAACTCAGTCATTCCTGACTAAATAATCAATTTGAGGCCAGCCTGGACTACGTGAATTACTGCTTCAAAAGCAAAGAAAACAAGATTGCTCTTCTGGTGTGGCAACTCCACAGGAAGTTACCACGAGCCCTAGGCACAGGAAAGGGAGCCCCGAGTGTCCGGGCCAGCCAGGGCCATCGATTCTAAGTGACACACTTTGTTCCAGACTTTTTGTGCTAAAAGGCAGGGGAGATCTGTGGGTGCCTTCAACTGAAAATGTCCCCTGCCCTGTCCCCGGGCTGAGCGTATCCAGGGCCTTTCTGTGGGGAAGTGTTTACTGAAGAAAACAATATCGACTACCTGTTCCTGCTGGCTTGTTCTGTTTCATTGTTCTTTAGACAACAATGACCAGGCTGGCATTGAACTCACAGAGATCCCCCTGCCTCTTGCCTTCTGAGTGCTGGGATCAAAGGCCTATGCTGTCATGATCAGACAGCCTGCTTGGGTTTTAAAAGACAGAAGGCATGGGAGGCAGAGGCCAGCCAGGACTACTCAAATGTGTGCCCATCTCCTCATCCGGAGAGGACGAAGGTGACCTGGGTGGCCCTGTGTTTCCCTCGCTAGGAAACTGATGGGGGGTGGTAGGGAAACAGAAGTCTGAGCATCACCGGAAGCAACGGAAGCTCAGATAAGAGTACAGAGAAAGCGCGTGTGGGGTGTGGCGGCTGGAAGAGGGCCGGCTGCCTGGCATATGGGAGGCCCAGGCTCCACTCTGACACCCACAAACCAGGTGTAATGCTCGGCACCTGTAATTCTAGAACTTGTTACATGGAGGGCTGGAGGTCAGTCTGGGCTACATGAGACCCTGGAGAGAGTCAGAGAGAGATTCAGACAGACAGAGAGAGAGAGAGAGAGAGAGAGAGAGGGAATGCCAGGGGAGATGGCTCAGTGGCTGACAAGCATAGCAACTTCAGTTCAATTCCCCGGGACCCACACGATGAAAGCAGAGAACCCACAGGTCGACCCCTGACCCCCACCTGTGTGCTGTGACATGTGAGTACACAGATGCACAATGCTCCCCCAAACACACACACACACACACACAGAAATAAATGCAATTTAAAAAATAAATAAGACAACTGAAAAGCAGCTGATGCTGGGACACCAAGTCACACTGCACCGCAGGCCACACCGAGGTGGACTGATGACACTGAGCCCCGCTAAAAGCCAAGCCCTCCTAATGCTCCAGTGAGAGCACTCAGCCCCTCCTCCAGAACCAGCTGGTCAGACAGCCCTCCCTCCCGGGGACGGCTAAGAACACTACCAAGGCTTGTTCTTTTCTTTGGTTTTTCGAGACAGAGTTTCTCTGTGTAGCTTTGGAGCCTGTCCTGGAACTCCCTCTGTAGACCAGGCTGGCCTCGAACTCACAGATCCGCCTGCCTCTGCCTCCCGAGGGCTGGGATTAAAGGCGTGCGCCACCACCGCCCCGCTAACACTACCACTCTTGCACAGCACCTGAACTCAGTTCCCAGTACCCACATCAGACAGTTTACAATCACTGCAACTTCCACTCCAGGGCATTCTACAATCTCTTCTGGTCTCATCAAGCACCTATACTCCCGTGTGCATACCCTGACACACACACACACACTTAAAATAAAATCAAAACCAAGTGAGACAGGTGTCTTGAGACAGAAAAGCCAGTTTCCAAGAACCGTCCAGAACCCGTGCTACCTTGTCCACATTGGCACGGGTCTTGGCTGATGTCTCCACGTACTGCACACCCCACTCCTCCGCTTTGCCCCGGGCCTCGTCCACAGGCACCTGCCTCCGCTCCTCCAGGTCAGACTTGTTGCCCACCACCAACAGTGGGATTTTATCTTCCTCGGCCTTGACTCGGAGGATCTGTTCCCTATGGTGAGGCAGCGAGGTCAGCGCGGTTAAGAAAGCTAACGAGGAGCCCATGAGAAGGCTCAGCAGATAAAGGAGCTTGCCCCCCCCCCAGTGGCCTGAGGGCTTGAGATTGAGCCACAAGGTGAGTGGTGGAGAATGACTCCTGCAAACTGTCCTCTGACCCCTACGTGGGCACTGTGGTATGTGTGCCAGTGCATGCATATGTACAAATAAAGTTGCTTTATTTTGTCTTGTTTTAAAGCTGGCATAAGAAGTCAGCTTTGTGAGTAGCCGGCAGTGCGCCTTGGTGTTTACAAGCATATCTAGAAAGTTCAGCTAAGGAACAAGAGAAATCAGCTCCATTTGGGAACTATCTCAAAGTGGGGTTCCCCTAGCGTGGTTTTCCCAGGCTGGCCCTCAGCTTCCCCCCACCATGATGATCTGGTCTCTCTCCATCCCAACAGGGTTCCCAATTTATGGGGAAGAAGAAAAGGGTGGAGAGGGAGAGGGAGAGGAGACGGAAGGGACCCTCTGAGACTCTCGGGAATTAAAACAAACTAAAAGGTACTGGAGATGCGGCCCAGGGCAGGGTACTTGCCTTGCATGCACAGAGCCCCGGGTTCCATCTCCAGCACTCTATAGTCGGGGCATGGTGGTACCCACCTGTAACCCCAGGACTCGGTGGAACCAGAACTTCAGGGTCACCTTGGCTACACTGTAAGTTCAAGATCAACCTGGGCTACATGAGATGCTGCCCCCAAAAGAGCAAAACGAAAACCCAGGGTCTGAGAGATGGCTCAGGCGTTAAGAGCAGCCTGGTCTGATTCCCAGCACCCACGTGACAGCTCACAGCTATAAGGGAATCAGTTCCCGGAATCTGATGTCCTCTTCTGGATTCTGCAGGTTCTGCCTGCACATGCTGCCCAGACATACATGCAGGCGAAACACCCATGCACATAAAATAAGTAAAACAAAACCCCGCCTCAAACTCAAAGCAGCAGCTCACACAAATGGTTAATAATTCCAATACAGGGACAGGGGGACAGGGGAGTGAACAGGGCAGAATGCGCATGTACCCTGTTCTATCCTCAGTGGCCTCACTGTGAAGAGGAGACACGGTTGAGGTCGCAAGAGTATGTAGAAGCTCCATGATAAGATGGGAAACCCTACAAACGGAGGCGGCGGCTCACGTGAGACCTCCTCTGTCCATCTGTCTCCTCCACACACACTGTATTTGCAGAAACAAGGGACCTTCAGCTCACTGGAGATCTGAGACCTCACGCACAGCTAGAGGTCCTATCTTATCATCTGATTGGCTGAGTTCCTCGTCGCCTCCCTGGCTCACTGAGGCTGCCTTCCAAATCTGACTCCCTTTACCTTTGGAGGGTCATCTGACTTTGTGACAAGAAAGAAGGCATTGAAGCATGGAGTCTGGGAGCTATGGAGATGACTCAGCTAGGAAGGGGGCTCGGGCACCAAGCCTGACTGCCTGGAATTCACATGGTAGGAGAAAACCAACTTCAAGTCTTCCCTGGCCTACACACTTTCCCCATGGTAAAAATACACACGCCCGTGTGTGCACATGCACTCACACACACTCACGCAGTGGTTTAAGAGATAGCTCAGTGGTCAAGAGAACTGACTGCTCTTCTAGAGGACCCGGGTTCAGTTCCCAGCACCCACAACCTTCTGTGACTCCAATCCCACCCAATCCGATGCCTCTTCCGGCTTTCCACAGGCATCAGGCATGCACGTGGCACACAGATTACATGCAGACAAAACATCCGTACACATAAAATAAATAAAAATAAAGGTATGCCAGGCGTGGTGGCACACACCATTAATCCTAGCACCCTAGAGGCAGAAGCAGGCAGATCTCTGAGTTCAAGACCAGCCTGGTCTACCCAGGACAGCCAGGGCTACACAGAGGCCTTGTCTCAAAAAAAACCAAAATAAATAAACGAATCCTTTTTGAAAAAGGTATACCCAGAAGTCCTAAAACATGGATGCACAAAGAGGCGGGGGCAATGATGGGGGACGCCTGGGCACCCAGGCTGTGGGTCCAGCGCCCGGCTCTCCCGCAAGCACACCTGAACTCGGCTGTGGCAGTGAAAGACTCGTGCTCTGTGATGGAGAACACAAGGAGGAAGCCCTCTCCGCTTCGGAAGTAGTTGTCTCGGATGGCTGCATAGTCCTCCTGGCCAGCTGTGTCCAGAATGTCTATCTGGACCTCTTCTCCATCGAGGACCACCTTCTTTCTGTAGCTGTCTGCTTTGGTGGGTTCATAGTCTTCTACAAACTGGGAAAAAGAGTCAGAATTAAGGAGTACAGCGGCCCCTGACTCTACACCTGAATGCTTTACGGTCGCCATTGTTACTACATCCAGAGTTACTACATCTTGGAGGAGGCAATGAAGAACACAGTCAGTCAGTCAATCAATCAATCAATCAATCAATCAATCAATCAATTAATCAATCCCTCCTTTCCTAGACAAGGTCACACTAAGTAGCTCAGGCTGGTCTTGAACTCCCGACCCTCCAAATGTTGGAATTACAGGCATGCCCCACCATGCTTGGCAACCCTTCCTTTCTTGATAGCTCTGAGTTCTACCATATTTTTTTTAAGGCTTTCAACAATAGGGGCAGATAGCCCCATTTACAGATAAGAACACCAAACTCCAAGCAGAACTCTTGGTGACATTACTTCTGTCAATACAGTGTAAAATTATAATACAAACTGGGAAAGGTGAGACATGGAAGTCTGTATTCATAAAGAACAGATATATAAACAGAGAGGAGACAGAAGCTTAGATTAAACCACTGGGGGCTGGGAGATGGTGTGGGGGGGTCAAGTGCTGACCAGCAAACATGGGGACCTGACTTTGATCCCCACATACCACGTTTAAAAACAACAAACAAGGCAGAGTGATGGCTCAGCGGTTAGGAGTACATGCTGCAGCCTACAGGACCCAAGTTCAGTCCCTAGCACCCTTGGATGGTTCACAACTGCCTGTAACTCCAGCTCCGGGGATCCAATGCATCCAGCCTGCATGATCACCTGCATTCCCGTGCTCATATCCACAGTTACACATGATTAAAAAGATAAAAATAAACCTCAAAAAAGTCAGCCATGGGAACAGTGCACGCTTGCAGTCCCAGGGCTGGGATGTGAAGAGCTCACTGGCCAGCCAAGGCCAGCCTACTCAGCGAGCCCCAGGCCAACGCGAGCCCTCGTCTCAAAGAACAAGGTGGGCCATGACTCAGGACCGATACCTGGGGCTGTTCTCTGACCTCCACAGGCACCCCAGCACATGTACGCACACGCACATGCACACTCCACATACCCACATCTGCATACATGAACATGCATGTACACGTGTAAATGAGTGAGAAAACAAATCCTGTCGAGCACTGAAAGTAAACAAGGCGAGGACCTTATTACCTTGAGGTAGAGAAGGCCTTTTTAACTATGACTCAAAATCCAGAAGCCATGTAAAAAAAAAACAACAACAAATAAACATTGATAAATTAGATTTCCAAAGAATGAAAGATAACAGAGCACAGCACAAACGCAAGGGATAACAGAACAAGGTCTGGGTCCACAGTGCACAGAGCATGCATGCCTCTCCATCACAGCGGTGGGGAGGCATCAACATTCAACAACCAACCTCTGAGCCAAAGAGCAGGGAGAGAGATGCTCTTCACTAGTGCTGAGGGAGGGAGAGAGGGAGGGAGCCAGGGAGGGAGGAAAAGGAGAAGGAGAGGGAGGGAGGGAGGGAGGAAAAGGGGAGGGAGGGAGAGAGGGAGGGAAGAGAGAGAGGGAGGGAGGGAGCCAGGGAGGGAGGGAAAGGAGAGAGAGGGAGAGAGGGAGGGAGGGAGGAAAAGGGGAGGGAGGGAGGGAGGGAGGAAAAGGGGAGGGAGGGAGGGAGCCAGGGAGGGTGGGAAAGGAGAGAGAGGGAGAGAAGGAGGGAGGGAGGGAGGAAAAGGGGAGGGAGGGAGAGAGGGAGGGAGAAAGGGAGGGAGAGAGGGAGGGAGGGAGAGGAAAGGAGGGAGCTACATATGGGCACACTTAGGCACATAGAGAACAATACAGCATGTCCTTCTGCAGAGGGTCACTAGGGAGAGTAGAGGTGTGTGTGTGTGTGTGTGTGTGTGTGTGTGTTTCCCACAAAAAAGACAAAACAAACTCAAAAGCTGCCAAAAAAGAAAAACAGAAGCAAATTAGTCTTCCTAATTAACTAAAAACAGGAAGTTAAAGGTCTGAAATGGCTGCGTATCTATACAGCTCAGTGTCACAGGGCTACCCCGGCATGTGAGGCCGTAGGGTTAGTATTACCCCACCCCAAAGGAAAGAAGTTCTGGCCAGCAGTAAAGATTACTAGATGCCCTTTGGGAAGGCATGAATGTGGGCACCCACTGGAGGGGCTGGCTCAACCATCTCTAACTCCAGCTGCAGATCTGAAGCCTCTCTGGGGCAAGTGCACTCATGTACATACCCAAACACAGATACACATAAATAAATCATGCACATACCCAAACACAGATACACATAAATAAATCATGCACATACCCAAACACAGATACACATAAATAAATCATGCACATACCCAAACACAGATACACATAAATAAATCATGCACATACCCAAACTCAGATACACATAAATATAAATCATGCACATACCCAAACACAGATACACATAAATAAATCATGCACATACCCAAACACAGATACACATAAATATAAATCATGCACATACCTAAACACAGATACACATAAATCATGCACATACCCAATCACAGATACACATAAATAAATCATGCACATGCCCAAACACAGATACACATAAATATAAATCATGCACATACCTAAACACAGATACACATAAATATAAATCATGCACATACCCAAACACAGATACACATAAATATAAATCATGCACATACCCAAACACAGATACACATAAATATAAATCATGCACATACCTAATCACAGATACACATAAATATAAATCATGCACATACCTAATCACAGATACACATAAATCATGCACATACCCAAACACAGATACACATAAATAAATCATGTCACATACCCAATCACAGATACACATAAATAAATCATGCACATGCCCAAACACAGATACACATAAATAAATCATGCACATACCCAATCACAGATACACATAAATAAATCATGCACATGCCCAAACACAGATACACATAAATAAATCAATCTTTCTATTTATTTATTTAATGTTTCACTTTACATTCCAACCTCAGAATCAGTCTTTTTTAAGGAAAGAAAAAATAACAACTAAGCAAATGACAAGAAAAACCAGAATACACAGAGTGGGTGTAACTGGACTTCTTATGCAGTACATTTGAAACATAACAACTAGCTCAAAATAGCAATGACTTAGATATGAACTAAAACAGAAACTCAGAGGGAAACACAGGGTTCTCAGGGTGACACCAAAAGCACAAGAGGAAATAAATCCGGGGCAGGGGTAAGGGTGCTGGCCACTAACCCTACAACCTGTCCGGGGCAGGGGTAAGGGTGCTGGCCACTAAGCCTACAACCTGTCCGGGGCAGGGGTAAGGGTGCTGGCCACTAACCCTACAACCTGTCCGGGGCAGGGGTAAGGGTGCTGGCCACTAAGCCTACAACCTGTCCGGGGCAGGGGTAAGGGTGCTGGCCACTAAGCCTACAACCTGTCCGGGGCAGGGGTAAGGGTGCTGGCCACTAAGCCTACAACCTGTCCGGGGCAGGGGTAAGGGTGCTGGCCACTAACCCTACAACCTGTCCGGGGCAGGGGTAAGGGTGCTGGCCACTAAGCCTACAACCTGAACTCCATCCCTGGGGCTCACACACTGGAAGAAAACTGAGTCCTGCAAGCTGTCCTCTGACCTCACCATAGCAAATGCACACATGCACACACACACCACACACACAGACACAGACACACACACATGCCACACACACACAGACACACACACATGCCACACACACACACGCACAAACACACACACACACACACCACACACACAGACACACACACACACAGACACAGACACACACACATGCCACACACACACAGACACACACACATGCCACACACACACACACGCACAAACACACACACACAAACACGCACAAACACACACACACACACCACACACAGGCACATGCACATGCACAAACACACACACCACACACAGAGGCGCGCACACACACACATGCACCACACACATACACACACACACACACACACACACACACACACACACACACACACACACCTTTCAGGGCTGAAGAGATGGCTCAGCAGTTGAGATGCTGGCTGATCTTCAGAAGACCCAGGTTCAATTCCCTGCACCCACACGGCCTCTCAACTTGCTGTGTACAACTCCAGATCCAGGAGTCTGACACCCTCTTCTGGCCTCTGTGGATATTACACACATGGGGTACACAGACATGCATGCAGGCAAAACGCCAATACACATAAAACAAATTAAGTTTTCTGAAAAGTTAAAACTTTGGCAAACCAAAGGGCAGTATTGGAAATGTAAAGGGCAAGACAGAGTGGACGCAGAACTTCTGAACACTGGGTCCACAACTGTGACACTGTATGGGAAGGTTGTAGAACTGTTAGGGGGTGGAGACTTTCAGGAGGAAGTGGACCACTAGAGGCGGGCCTTGGAATTTTATAGCCAGCCCCACTTCCTGTTCACTCTCTGCCTCCTGAGCGTGGTTGCAACGTCCCCAGCGGCCTCCTGCTCCTGCTGCACGCCTTCCCTGACATAACAGACGGTGTCCCCAGGAAATGTGAGCCAAAAAAAAGCCCCTTTTCCTTTAAGCTGCTTTTGTCAAGGGTTGTCACTGCAACAGGGACATACCCAGGACAACAATTCATTACTTTATATTTTTGCCTTCTCACACAGGGCTTTGCCATGCAGCCCAGGCAGGCCTCAGACTCAGGACCCTCCTGCCTCACTCAGCCTCATGAGGGCTGGGATTAAAGGCACCCCACACCTGCTTGGACTACACACGACCAAAGACGGTTTAGTGGGCGCTTGTCTGAAAACTCCAGAACCCACGTGGTGGAGAGAGAAGTGGCCCCCTCTGATCATCAGTGTGCTGCGACATACACACAGGCAGACACAATCAACCTTTCTTTAAAAAGCACAAAACACCTAGACAAGGCTCTCCTGGTGCCTCCCGTGTCTGTGGCTGCAAGGAAAACAACTTTTAGACTCCAGCAGGACCCCGGCTCTGCATGAAGTGTCCTCAAATTTGGCATAACGCCTCTACAGCCTGGAGAACTACAGGCATCTTCTCCACAGCTCTGCCTCGCCTGTGATTTGTCTCCGCCTAAACTCCGGGCTGAAATCTGGTTTTAAGTGTTAAGAAAGACCAGGGTTGCAGGGATGGCTCATCTGGTACATACAAGTGCTTGCCTTACATTCCTAAGTCCTGGGTTCAATTCCCAGGATCCCCCATAAAAAAGCAGGGCATGGCCGTGCTGTGCGCTTGCGACCTCAGTGCTGGGAGATGGAGACATGCCATCCCAGATGCTCCAGGGCATGCGGGCTGGCCTCAGGGAGCGCCAGGACAGAGAGACCTTGTCTCAAAATTCAAGGTGGACAGTTCCTGAACAACGCCAATTAAGGCTATTCTATGTGCTTCTGTATCTATGTGTACATACAAACACACACACACACACACACAGAGCCCACAAAATTAATGAACGAGAAAGGGTTCATTTTTGGCTCACGGTTTCAGTTTTCATTCCACGGTTCCTAGAGGCCTGTGGTGAGGCAGAGGATGGGCATGAAAGCACCCAGCAGAAACAGGAAGCCGGGAAAAACACAGGAAGGGGCTGGGATTCCGATCTTCTTTAAGGACACTTCCAATAGCCTAACTTTCTCTGGCTGAACCCTCGTTCCTAAGGTGCTCTGGGCAACAGGAGTTTGGTTCCCAGAACCCACACTGAGCAACTGTAGTGAAATATCCACCCTGTTCACACCTGTTGTACTGACCACGCCCATTGCGGGGCATGGAGACAGGTGTGGGCATGACCGGTGGAGTCTAGGTCTGGGTCCTGACCAGGATGCTCTCTCTTACTTCTGAGTTGGAGAGAAGATTGGAGGACATCTTGTAGTGGAACCTGGAGTGGTAGTCTGTTTCTTGTGTAAATGAATTCTCCCCGAATAAACCTCAATCAGCCTGTATTGAGTCCCAGAATCTTATTACTCGCTTTCGGCAACTCACAACTGCCTGAAACTTCAGGCCTTCTGACACCCTCTTCTGGCCTCTGAAAGCCACCACACTCTTCTACACCCCCACACGCACACACAGAAATTAAAACAGTAACAAACAAACCTTTAAGTTACAGCACCTATAGAGACTTCTCGCTCCCCTTGCCCCTGTCACAAACAAAGCACCCTGAAAATACAGAGTGCAGACAGACGCCTCCCATTTCTACTACGACTAAAATCACCAGCCGGGATCCTCTGCCGAGACTCCCTCCCCCTGAAGCTACCCAAAAACTCCGTGGACACAGGGGGACGTGGACACAGGAGACAGCTGAGGTGGACACACACGATGACACAGCAGACACAGTCACTTGCAGGAGGTGTGCTGGCATCCTTACCTCGTCATACATGAACTGAAGCGTCAGGGCTGACTTGCCGACCCCGCCACTGCCAACCATGATGACCTTGTGAAGGGCCAGGGAGCCCTGGCTCTTGCCCTTGTTGGCAGCCATCCTGCTGGTCTGAGGTGATGACACACGGACAGATGGCCCAGATGGGGAGCTACAGGTGACAGAGACAAGGACTTAAGATGGTATGCATTCTATCCAGTCGAAATCAAACGACATCTGTCATTCCTACACTTTAAATATATATATTTTTTAATTTACTCTTATGTGCATTGGTGCTTTGCCTACAGGTTAGTCTGTGTGAGAGTGTCAGATCGTGGAGCTGTTAGCTGCCATGTGGGTGCTGGGACTTGAACCTGGGTCCTTTGGGAGAGCAGTAAGTGCCCTTGACTGTTGGTTGCGCTGTCTTTGCAGCCCCTAAATATTTTATTTTTATGTTAAATTATGGGTATGTGTGTGTGGGTTTGTGCACATGAGTATAATACTCTCAGAGAACACAGGCATCAGTCAGATCCTCTGGGGCTGTAGTCAGAGGGCAGTCATCAGTCCTCTTAGCCCCAAGCCATTTCTCAAGCCCTCCCTGAACTTTAGAAACACTTAATCCTGAGGTAGACTGATTCCCATTTTCCTGAGGAACCGCCATACTGATTTTCAAAATGGCTTTACAAGTTTGCACTCCCACCATCAGTGGAGGAGTGTCCCCCTTCTCCACATCCTCTCCAGCATAAACTGTCATTGGTGTTTTTGATTTTAGCCATTCTGACAGGAGCAAGATGGTATCTCAGAGTTGTTTTGATTTGCATTTCCCTGATAGCTAAGGATGTTGAGAACTTTCCTAAGTGTCTTTCAGCCATTTTAGATTACTCTATTAAGAATTCTATATTTAGTTCTATGCCCCACTTTTTAATTGGATTATTTGGTATTTTTGTAACTAGCTACTTGAGTTCTTTGTATATTTTGGGAATCAGCCCTCTGTCAAATGTGGGGTTGGTGAAGATCTTTTCCCATTCTGTGGGCGGCTCTTTTGCCTTGTTGACAAGGTCCAGCAATTCCACTCTTAGGTATATACCCAAAGGATGCACATTCATACAACAAGGACATCTGTTCAATTATGTTCATAGCAGCATTATTTGTAATAGCCAGAACCTGGAAGCAACCTAGATGCCCCTCAACCAAAGAACGGATAAAGAAAATGTGGTACATGTACACAATGGAGTATTACTCAGTGGGGGGAAAATGAAATCTTGAAATTCACAGGCAAATGGATGGAACAAGAAGAAACCATCCTGAGTGAGGTACCAGTCACAGAAAGACAAACATGAGCATTCACACAGTAACTGATGGAAGCAGAAGCAGAGATCCACAGCTGAGCACAGAGAGGGAGGAGAGATGAGCAAAGGGGTCAAGACCAGGCTGGAGAAACCCACAGAAACTGCTGACCTGAACAAGGGGGAGCTCATGGACCCCAGTCTGACAGCCGGGGAACCAGCATAGGGCAGAACCAGGCCGTGTGAATGTGGGTGCCAGTTAGGAGGCCTGGGCAGTCTATGGGGCCTCTAGTGGTAGAACCAGTATTTATCCCCAGTGCATGAATGGACCTTGGGAGCCCATTCCCCATGGAGTGATACTTTCTCAGCCCAGATATATGGAGGAGGCCTAGGCCCTGCCCCAAGTGATGTGACAGACTTTGATGATCCCCCATGGAAGGCCTCACCCTCCCTAGGGAGTAGATGGGGGTGGGGGGGCATGTGAGGATGGGAGAGAGAGGGAACTGGGACTAATATGTAAAATAAGATTGTTAAAAGACTTAGCCCATTGAGACAGAGAGGGTCTGGAGAGGAGGCTGTGACAAGTCTTAAACTCTGAAGCCAGGACATGCTGAGAAACAGTGGACACCCCACACCTGCACCACTAGGGAGGGTGGCCCGGGCTCTCTGGCCTCCACAGACACCAGGCAAGCACATGGTAGGCAGATGCACACACAGGCAAACATCCACATGCATAAAACAAATTGAAATTTTTTTTTGATAAATAGATTAGAAGAACTAATATTCTAGTGGCAACCAAGGGGCTCCTTGATCACCAGGGCCCTGGTGCGGGGGAGTTCTCCCTAAAAAGCTGTAGCCACAGCCTCCTCCAAAGTCAAGCAATTAACATGGGGGGGGGAGAGAGAGAGAGAGAGAGAGAGAGAGAGAGAGAGAGAGAATAGTGTTTGTGCATAGTATGTGGAGGCCAGAGGTTGACATCAAGTATTCTTGAAAACCTCCAGGGTATTTTTTTAAAATTGTGTGTGTGCGTGTGTGTGTGCGTGTGTGCATGCGCACATGCCCTGAAAGGCCAAAAGAGGGCGTCTGATCCCCTAGAGCTAAAGTTATAGGCGGTTGTGAGCGCCACTCTGCCTGGGTACTGGTAATAAACAGGGGTGCTCTGGAAGAGCAGCAAGTGCTCTCAACTGCCAAGCCATCTCGCTGGTGATGGGAGATGTCATTCTGTAAATGTTTCTCATACTGGTTTATGAATAAAGCACTGTTGGCCAATAGGAAAGGAAGAGAGGAGGGGCTAGGAGACAAGGAGGAGAGAGGAAGGAGTAAGGAGGAGTCAGCATGTAGAGACCGGAGAGAGCAGACGCCGGCCCATCTCCAGTAAGATGAGACCACGTGGAAATACTTAGATTAATAGAAATGGGCTAATACTTAAGACAGAGCTAGCGGATAAGAAACTAGTACCTGGCCAACAGCGTTGTATCAAATACAGAGTCTTGGTGTGTTCATTGGGACTGGGTCCAGACCAGCGGCAGAAAAACCTTACTCGTAACACACTGGTTCCTCAACCTTTTAAAAATTATTTTTACAATTTTGAGGCAGGGTTTCACTCTGTAGCCCTGACTATGTGAAACCATTATGTAGACCAGGCTGGCCTTGAATCCCCCTGCCCCTAGTCTGTATTCGTTACTTTTCTATTGCTGTGATAAAACACAATAACCAAGGCAATTTACAGAACAAAGGTCTATTTAACTCACAGTTCCTAAGGGACACAGTCCTTCAAGGTAGGGAAGCTTAACAGCAGGCAGGGGTTGGGAAGGAAGGTGAGGGCCCAGAGGCAGGGACAGGAGGGGAGGGCCCAGAGGCGGGGACAGGAGGGGAGGGCTCAGGTCTTGAACCATGGGAGAAAGCACAGATAGCAAACTAAAAAAGGCACCCGGCTTTTGTTTGGTTGGTTTTTGAGACAGGGTTTCTCTGTGTAGCCCTGGCTGTCCTGGAACTCACTCTGTAGATCAGGCCGGCCTTGAACTCATAGAGATCTGCCTGCCTCTGCCTCCTGAGTGCTGGGATTAAAAGAGTGCACCACCAAATTTAGGCACAAGCTTTTTAACTCTCAAAGCCCTCCACCAGTGACACATTTCCTCCAACAAGGCCACACCTCCTAAGCCTCCCCAAACAGTGCCACCAACTGGACACCAAGCATTTAAACGCTGGGCCAACAGGGGGCATTTCTCATCCAAACCCCACAGCCTCCAAAGTGCTGGGCCTAAGGCCCTACACCTGGCTCCCCACCGTATCTTTTGAGACAAGGTCTCTCACTGAATCTGGAGCTCAGTGTTTCTACAGCCCCATCTCCACCACCCAAGCGTGAGCGTTGGAGATGTGGGCTGTTATGCCTAGCGTTTTACATGGGTTCTGGGGGCTGAATGCTGTTCTTTACCCTTGCACAGAAACGCTACCTAACTGAGCCAGCTCCCAAGCTGTGTTCTTTGAGGGCATTTTGTTGGAGTGATGTTGGTTCTTGCTTTCTCTGTGACAGGGTTCTCCACTGTGTCACCCAGGCTGGCCTGGAACTCAGGCTCCACCCCCCCCACCCCAGCCTCCTGAGTGCTGAGATTACAGGCATGCACCACCCAGGCCTGGTACGCACTGTTCACTGTGCATTTCTGGCTAGCATCTCCATTTATACAGTCTTGTATGTACGTAAAGCCTTCGAGGCCGCAACTGAACGTAATTAATTCATTGTGTTCTTGGCGATGTGCAGTTCCTTAGCATTGGTGTTGGCTGGCGACATGGCCTTGGGCTGCTCGAAGTCATTTCTCCCCTTTGCCCTTCTCCAGGTCCCTGCCCACTCCAGGCATCACACTACTCCCCCCTGCGCTAATTATGTGCTTTTTAATGATCCAGCTAAGCAATTAACTAGATAATTAAGCACAGCTGAGCGGGGATAGAACTAGAAGGAATAGGGGTCCCGGCGCCCCACCAGGCTGAGATTCCGGAACTTGAAAATACCTCTGGCCTCGTTTGCAGCCACCAACTCTTTCTTGCAGAGCTGAGGTTGGTAAATGGGAGTTGGGACCCCAAGTCACCTAAGTGTCTCATAACTTCCCAGTCAACCTCATTTCTGTGGAGTTGATGGAAATGAACCGTTGGTCTGGGCGGGGTATGAGGGGGGCAGGGTCCTTTCCAATATCTGCCGACACCAAACTATGCTGACATATATGTACTTAGTATGTATGTGTGGTATGTGTATGCGTGCATGTGTTGTATGTACCTTTAGTGTGGAGTGTGCAGATACATATGCATGTGTGTGTGTGAAGGTGAGACATGAATATTAAATGAACACTGGAGCCTCTTTCCCGTCATTTGTCACCTTAAATTACAATAATTTACTTCCTCTGCATATGTGTGCGCGCACACGCGTACACACGTGCCACAGCACATGTGTGGAAGTGAAAGGACTCTCGGGAGTTGATTCTCTCCGTCTACCCCATGCGTTCCAGGGTCAAACTCCGGTAGACAAGCTGGGCAGGAAGCCATCCCGCCCGTCCCTACTTTACTTTTCGAGGCGGGGTTTCCTGATGAGCCTGAAATGACATCAAGATGTCCGCATCTGCGGTCCAGCGCTGGGATTACAGGTGCACACAGCCTCCCCTGCCTTTCCCCGTGACTTCCGGAGATGGGAGCTCAGGCCCTCATCCTTGCAAGGCATTTCCCTAGCCATTTCCCTAGCACCATTTACTCGCTCCTGGGTTGTGTCTGGTTTTGTTTGGTTTAAAATGAAGTCAGTTCTCTGTAGGAAATAATCACCAACAAAGTCTTTACTGTAACCACTGAAGACCAAAACCTTCGCTCCAAGTCCAAAATGGGGACCAGCCCATTCACTACTTGC